TGGGGGGGGGGTGTGTGCATGTGTGTGCGTGTGTGTGCGTGTGTGTGCGTGTGTGTGCGTGTGTGTGCGTGTGTGTGCGTGTGTGTGTGTGTAGGTGTGTGCGTGTGTGTGTGTGTGTGTAGGTGTGCGTGTGTGTGCGTGTGTGTGCGTGTGTGTGCGTGTGTGTGCGTGTGTGTGCGTGTGTGTGCGTGTGTGTGCGTGTGTGTGTGTGTGCGTGTGTGTGTGTGTGTGCGTGTGTGCGTGTGTGTGCGTGAGTATGTATGGGAGCGGCAGGGGAAGTTTTTGGATGTAAAGGGCTATTAGGAGCTACTTGACTTCGTGATGGCGCCAGGAGCGCACTCCCACGTCCCCACCCTCCCTCCGGCGGCGACAGTGGATTTTGGGGAGGGGGTTGGGGGTTTACACCATTTTTTGAATCCTCCCACCCATCCACCCATCCAGTTCCCCCTCCCCCCCCCCCTCGTTCCCCCCCCTTTCCCCCCTTGTGTGTATTTCAGATTCCATTGTGGAGTTCGTGTCCGCCTTCACGACGCACGTGGATGGAGTGGGGGACGTCTGCAGCCTGGCACTCTTCGACTTGGCGCGTCACGGCAATGCAAAATTCGGCGCGCCCGTACAAGCAGAGAAGGTACGTGTTCGTACAGCGCGTACGGCCCCCTCCAGTCCTCCGCCAAAGTGCAATAAGCGAATTTTGTTTATTTTTATTGGAAGAGGGGAACCGCGACGTTTTGCAAGTAGGGTTTCATGGCTTTTTCCCCGCCCCATGCCCCGGGGGGGAGCTGGGTTACCGCGGATTATCCTGGCCTGGCGGCGCCGCCGCCATTTATACGTGTGTAGCTGTAATGTGCTGGCTGCAAGTGACCCGCGGCGTTGTCCTTGGCGCCATCTTACTTCCTGCCTGTCTGTCTTCCTGCTTGCCAACCTGATCTGTCTGTTTGTCTGTCTGTTTGCCTGCCTGTCTTGCTCGTTGGTTATCACCACCACAGGCTTTCCGGAGCCGGCAGGGGAAGCTGGAGAAGTCGTTTTTGACTTTCGTTGCGACCTACCCCACCTGGGAGCCCGGGGAAATGGGGCGACGTATGCTGGCGGCGCTGGCAACCAATGCCGGCGGCGGTGGGGGCGGCAGCGGCGCCGCTGCCACCGCTACGACGGCGGCGGCGGCCGCAGGCGACTCCACGTCATCGGATCAGCATCCGTTGCCGCGCCAAGCTGTCGACCTGTTGACGTACCATCCGGGTCCGCCGACGGTCTTTCCGTACCAGGCCGCCGCGGAGGCGGGTAAGGCCGCTCACGTAGCGGAGGCGGCGGCGGCGGCGACGGCGCTCAACCGCGGGGTTGCTGCTTCGGAGTTTCGGAGCAGCTCCACTAAAGGCGTCCCGCCGGAAGAAGGCGGTGGAGGTGGGGCGCGGAAGGGTGACACGTACTCGGCGGTGGACGCGTCCGCCGTCGCGACGGCGGCGCCGCCGCCGCCGCCGCGCATGCCACAGCACGACGCTGGTCCTCGAGGGATACGGCGGCCGCAGGTGCCGTTGCACCTGCAGCCGTACCACGGCGTTACGTCCTACATGAGCAATACCTCCGCCAGCCAGCTATCCTGGCGGCCGGCGGCGCAATCGTCATCGGGTGCAGGTGTCGTACCCGCCGGCGGCAGTCCACCTCCAAGCGTCGCGTCAAGCCAGTTTTCCAACCTGGCAGCGCCGTACATGCAGTGCTATCCCGTACCACTGTACTACGCCCAGCAGCAGCAGCTGCGTCACGTCCAGCAGCAGCAGTATCGGCGGATGTACGAGCATTTGATGTACGGCAGGCCATCGGCGCCGCTGCGGGACGCCGTTTCTGCGGGTGGGGCACCGCCGCCGGGGCTGCTGCCGACGCCGCTATCTCCGCCATACCACGCACCAAGGATGGCGGGATCAAGTGCCTCCGTCGCCGGGGGCGGCGGTGCTGCCGCCGCCGCCGCTACTGCCGGCTGGCAGCACCCCTCCCAGCTGCAGCTTTTTGACCCCTCCACGTCATACTCGGGCATGTTCCACCCCTTTGCCTTCCACGGCCCACATCTCGTACCGTTGCCGTATTCGCCACCCGTACCTGCGCTGCACCCACCTCCACCTCCACACCCACATCTACAGCACCCCGTCAACCAGTACCAAACGAGGCCAGAAGCGCACAGAGGCGCCGCGTCGGCAGCGCCGTCCGGGATTGGCGGCGGCGGCGGCGGCGGCGCCACCTTGGCGCAAGGCCGCGTGGGCCGCGTTCAACCACCTGGCGGCGACGGCGCAGCCGCCGCCGCGGTTGCTGTTTCGGCGGCAGCGGTGGCGACGGCGGCGGCACTGCCATTGCACGGTGACGGCGGCGACAACACCGGCGCACCTGTGCCTGACGTACACCCCCTCCGACGGCGACAACAAAGCGATTTGTCAGGAATCTCAGTATCGCCGCGAAAGGCCCCTTCGGAGGTGTTGGATTCGGCTGCAGCGGTCGCTGGGCTCGTCGTGGGCGGTAACGGGGACAACCAGGCGTTGGCTGCGGCAGCGGCTGGTCCGAGTACCGCGTACGGTTGTACGACGCCAGATATGCCAGCCGACGGCTGGGGTAGCGGCGTCAGTGGCCTTAGTGACCGGACTGGCGGCTCCCGGGGCGCTCCCACGCCGGCGGCGGCAACGGCGACGCCACAAGTTGCTGCGGTTACCGGTGGCGGCAGCAGTATCGGCAGTGCTGGCGCAGCTGGCAGCGGCAGTACGAGCGCCCATGCCGTTGGTAGCGGAAGCGCTACCGGCGGGGGTTATGGTTCGGATGTTTTGGACCTTTGCGGCCTTGAGGTGGCGCCAGCGGCACACGATGACGATGACGACAACCCCCTGAGTGGCGGCGGCTTCGTTGAGCTACTTCCGGCGGTGGCGGCGGCGCCGCTGCCGCTGCCGCTGCTGGCACCTGGACCGGCGGTAGCAGCAGTAGCTTCGGCCTTGCGAGCAGATCCCAGCCTAGGCTTCGGGCCGATGGAGGAAGCTGACGGCTTTGGCCTCGTTCCGGAGGCCCTGGCGCCGCCGGCGACGGGCGGTGGCGGCGGCGGCGGCGCTGCCTCCAGCTCCGGGTCCTCCTTGGGTCTGATGCCGCGGCGCTGGGGTTCGTACGGCACTCCATCCCGGGGGCTGACGGAGCGCTCAGTCGCGCCGCAGGCGGCGGCGACGGCGGCAGTGTTGGGCGACGGCGGCGAAGTGGAGTCCCCGGGCGTTGGCGGTTGGTACGACCGTGACTGCTCGTACCCACAACAACAACAACAACAACAACAGCACCAGCCGCTGCAGCGTGAGCTGCAGCGATCCAGCGGACCCGCGGGGCCACCCAGGCACCTTCCCACGGGGCCGTCATCGCACG